TCGTGGAATACTTCAGTCTGGGACAACTGTCATCTTGTTCTGTGTTGGACAGAGACGACAACAATTGTGTCAAGATGAAAATATCTCACCAGAAGCATAGACACCTTCAGGTTAAGTTGAAACATGCGGCCACGCCTACCCGATCTCAGGGATTTCTAGTATACATGAAGGTGATGGGCGAGAGCCTACTCCTGCTATCGAGGAACATCTTGGGTATCTTCCGCCCTGGTACTCGTATCCACGTCCTCTGTCTGGGCTGCGAAAACTTTGCTGATATGTGACTCGGTCGAAGTGACTTTTTTTGCCCCCCCCCTGTATTCATCGTTGTTATTTCGGAGGTCCGTGCCAGTTTTTGAGCACCTTATGAGTGCCATCGCTCCACATGCAGGCTGGCGCAACGAAATTGGACGCCACCTCGACATTGACGTGTTCTCGGGTCATGAGGCTTTTCTCATCCATCTACGGACTTAGTTTGACAAACAACCAGCAAATGGAGGGAGCAATGTCAGGACTATTCCGGTGCAAAGGCAGGGCCATCCCGCTATATTGCATGCGCTGATTTGTGACCTTTTTACAAGTTGTGGTCTGGCACCGTTATGTTTAGAGCAGATTGTGTGGGCGAATGTCCTCCCCCCTCCTAGCTAATCAACGATTAGATTGAGATCCCAACGCTGATATGTGTAGGTTGGTCATGGAAATACCCTCTTTCAGAGGTTTTATGAGCGGCAGCTCCCTCAACTTGAGTTCCAAATGGAAATACAGACATGACTTCGTCTTCAAAAGTGTAGCGTCTCCTCGCTAATTCGTCCTCGACATTGCGTTTGAAAATGGGAGTCGCTTCATTTGGAAACCAGGGGAAGAGGGCCGAGGGAGGGGTCGGGTTTCTCCACGTCTCTATCTCTGGCTTCAGGCAACTCATTGCTGAAGAATGAGTAGAAAACGAGTTAGTAGTACGGAAAAAGGTATTACCTTAGGTCCAGTTGTTCGCTTTATCTATCACATCCATCTTCTAGAACACAAGGCAAGCATAATCGTTCTCGCTGCCGACCAGGCGTTATTGTCCACCAATACTTGTCGCTTGCACGCTTCAGTAATTGGTAGAGAACGAGCTTTCGTCGTGCTAAGCCCATCCTCCCCCGACACGTCCAACATCTGCAGCAAAAAATGAATGTTTCAAGTTTGAAAAATATGTCAAATTTTCTCTGCCAACCTAATAGCTTGGACATTAGGCAACGTTCAGACTCAACGCGCTGTACAGCGCAGCAACGCGCGTTAAAGCAACGCGTTGGAGCAACGCGCGTTGAAGCGCGCCTACCATCTTCTTTTCCCATACTCTCTCGAGACTCATGCCGGCACCCATCGAGCCTTCGCGGACGGAAATCGATCGGCGCCGGCAGTCTGCGGCTGCGTTCAGGCTTCTACCCTTGGAGCTCTGTTGTGATTGCTTCGCTTCAACGCGCGTTGCTGCGCAGTACAGCACGTGGGGTTGAACGCTGCCTGAGCGTTTTAATGCTTCGTTCTACGTCGTGATACTTCTTTGATTCAGATTTAACGAGTGTGTGTGCACGCCGTATAATGCTGATTTTGATGGTGATGAGATGAATTTGCATGTTCCACAGACCCATGAGGCTAGAGCAGAAGCGAGCCTTCTCATGGGAGTGAAAAGCAATTTGATAACTCCTAGATCTGGCGAACCGTTGATTGCTGCCATTCAAGTAAGGTTTTTGTCTTCAAACACTTTCAGTTTGATTTTGTGCTTTCTTTTTCCTTTAGATAGTGGCAGCTCCGATTTGGCTGCCACACTAATTCGCTTGAAGGCACATTCCGCGATCGTATGGGCGGAGTCACTTGAAAAATCTGTTGTCATGTTTACCGTCCTCCATTTGTCCATTTCAAAATAAGGGTCCTATCAAAGAGAAGAGTTTAAGAACAACTTGAACTTAACCTTTTTGAATGAGTCGATCCTCTTTTTCTCTGCACTTTCTCGTCCCTTACGGCATTCTGTGGTCATTGTGTCACACATTCCAGCTTTTCTCGAATGATCGCCGGCTCACCCACCCCGATTCCCTCCTCTTGGAAATAGTCCTTTATCCTGGCTCGTCACATGCTTGTTGTACATTTCAATGCTTTGGCAGCTGCTGGCCTCTTATCGGTCTGCATTTTACGATTTTTCTACAGGACCATGCACAAAGTTCAAGATGTCACAAAACTCAGTGAAGGTGCACTCGTCGGATAACTCCGCCCACACGATTGTACGCGGAATGTGCCTCTAAATCGGTTTGATGCGCTCAGATGTTTCAAATCATGCCCAGTCTTTGTCAATAATCGAGTGCGATTCCCCCCCCCCCACACCCCGTAGCGAAACATTATAAAACATTATCAAAGGTAACAAATAGCATACAGTGAATTTCGAACCAGACACGGTTATCGTAACTCTTTTCCTATTTTCTTATGGTTGACGATCTTTTGATTTAATTTCACGTATAGTCTCATTGTTTCGGTTCGTACTGCCCTCCTTTTTGGCCTTCTGCATCATTCCAGAGTGTCAGCGGAATAATTTCAGGATTTCATCACGGGTGCTTACTTGATGACGCACAAGGACACCTTTTTCACTTTCAGCGAGGTGCTTTTCTAGCGGTTTTATTTCGAGTAAAGATTTTTTCGGATCTGTTGACATTCTAGGCTTCCCGAATGGCTTCGTCTATTATCAATTGCAACTCAAAGAAGCAGAAGCGTATTCGACTCCCAGTTCCAGCCATTTGGAAACCAGCGAAGTTATGGACGGGGAAGCAGGTAATTTCAGCGCAGATCGAAAACGGGGCTGGGGTGGGCATTTCGCACTTTTGCTGCTTTACATCGACATGTCGGCCTATCAAGTGGAAACCTGTAAAGCCACGAAATGATACCTGCCAAAGTTTGAAGAGGCTTCTGTCAACTCTTGCAAAAAGTACCTGTAAACTTTTGTAAAGCAATGAAGTACCATACAAATACCAGTTAGTATGGTGATGTATAAACCGGAACTAGTGAAGCAGCGAAAGTGCAAAATGCCCCTTCCGTTGCCGATCTGCTGATTTCTATGTTCATTTGCTTTTTCCAACTGAAAATCTTTTATATTCAGCTCATTGAACTCATCGTCTCTGATGATATTGATAGTCCGAAGAAGCTCAATCTAACAACCCCTAATAAGAGCTACACGGGTAATCGGGAGTTTTGTGTGAAGGTAGGGATTTTCTAGCCAGTCATTCAATCAATTCAATTGTCATATTCCATACTTTGAAGGACTCTTTCGTCATATTTCGAAATGGGCAGCTTATTTCTGGAGTCCTGGACAAATCGTTGTTGGGTTCTAGTTCAAAGACAAATATCTTTTATATTCTTCTGCGAGACTTCGGAGAGGATGCTGCTGTGGACGCAATGTGAGTTCTGGTGTTTTGTCTACATTGTACTCATGTAATATTAGGTTGGCGGAAAGTTCTGTCACATTTTTCAAATTAGGCTTTCTTTTTATAGAGAGGCGTGTAAGATCAAAATTGTACAGCAATGTTACTGCGGGGTCCTTGCCAGTTTTTGAGCACCTCATGGATGCCATCGCTTCACAATGCAGGGAGGCGCGACGCAAAGTTGGACATCATCTCAATTTTGACTTGGCTCGGGTTGTGGAGGTTTTCTCGTCCACATAACGATTGAGTACGGGAGGCAACTCGCAGTTAGAAGGAGCAATGTCTGTGCTACACCAGTGCAAGGGGAGAGCCATCCAGCTCTATTGCATGAGGTACGGCTCGGTACTTTTAGATCTCGTAGCTGCTTTGCGTACGCCTTGATCAAGGAAGCAGCTTCTTCATTCAGCAGTTTCCCGACCCATAG